TAGTTCTCCCCGTCCCTCACTCTGTTTGTCCTCAGTAGTCCCAGCCACCTGACAACCCTAGGACTTCTGTCCATCTCAGATTGCTGAGTCCACAGTTCTCAGAATGTGTCGAGTTTTCCCAGTCCAGGCAGCTCTCCTCGTTTTCCCTCAGGCCCCCAGACCTCCCGAATACATCAATCCCTCCCCTCCTGTTCCTCCAGTTGCTGAACCACCTCAGACCTATTCAGCCCACCACACTGACTCCCCACCAGCCCCCGGAGCCCTCCATTCCCGCGTGTCTCCCTGTATCCTCTGTCCCGCCTATCTCCTACCCCTCTCTGTGACTGCAGTTACCCCTCGTGCAGTCTCTCTCCCACTCCTTGTGGCTCCCACTTACTCCCCAGCCCTTCCACAGCAACTAGTGCCTCCACAGGACCCCCAATTCCAGTATGTTCCAATAAAACCCATCCTGATGGATCCTCTCACCATCTCCCCAATCTTCCCATCTTCATTCACAAAATTTCCCACCCACTTACTCCCAGGCCTCTGTCCCTCTCTCACTGTCAGTCTTTCCAACTCTCAGCACATAATGCCCCCAAGGAAGACTGGCTGGTCTAGCTCGCTGTCTTGCCGGTTCCTGCAGTCCCGAGCAGCCCCAATGGTCCCCTCCATTCACTCCACTTTTCTTCTCCTTCCCCCAATACCCTTCCTTCCATTTCACCCCTTAGGCCACCCCTCTAATCCCGAGGAACTTTCGTATCCTGGACTGTCCCTGTTGCATGCTTAGATCACTAGGACCCAAGTGCCCAGCTTCTGGATATCAACGTCATCCCTGAGATTTGAGGAATCCAACTCTGGAGATTCTGTTGTTTGTAGTTTTGATTTCCCTGACTTTTGAACTTCCAGTTCCGTGACACATGGACTCCTTAACTTCCGGCTTCTGAGACCCTATTGTTACACACTTCTGGTGTCCAGATTCTATGTTTTCCACCAGGGGGCTAAATCCTGAATGAGTCCCTCTTTCCTAATCCACACAGTGACCATCAGATCCAGGAAAAGGAACAACCAGTGAGTGGAGCCTCTCACAGCAGACCCCCCAAAGTGGAGAGCTGAAGGGAAAGATCTCTTCAATCTTGTATCTTAGCCTCTCTTCCCACCAGCTCTCATTGATGGGCGTAGTCTTGCAGTGGAAGTCTATCATGAGAAGTGGAAGCCCACTGCAGTGCCTTCTCTCATGGCTGTTTCTAACATGATGACTGAATTCTGGAGAAATGAATTGGGAAACCCCCATGCTCACTTGCCCTGGTTAACTCTTGTTCATATTTGGTTTTCACACAGGAGCTTAATCTTTACTTTCCCATTTGACATTCAAAAATGACACATGAGGAAATTAATACTGTTATTCTCATTATAAATTAGGAGAAAAGCTTCAATATATTTTAAATGGTGAAGATATGGAGGCAAATGCTGAGATCTGCCTCCCAAACGATAATCATCTGGGAATGCTGCATCCGTGGACCCAAGAGCTCCCTCCCAGCTACCCTCTACAACCAGGGCTGTTTTCCACTTCAGCTGTATCCCAACATTGGCTATGTGACCCATAGACCACAGCATCTACTATACTGCATTTTCTCCTTCTCTTGTTTTTCCATCTTACAGATTGCTATGGACTGAATGTCTGTGTCCCCCACAAAATTCGTATGTTGAAGCTCTAACCCTTAATGTGATGGTATGGTGATGGGGCATTGGGAGATAATTATGGTTAGATGAGAGTGTGACCCTGATAGTAGGATTAGTGCCCTTATAAGAAGAGAAACAAGAAAGTTTGATTTTTTCTCTCTCCACGCTAGAGCAGGAAGAAAATGCCATGTGAGGACACAGTGAGAAGATGGCCATGTGCAAGCCAGGAAGAGAGCTGTCACCAGAAGCCAAACCCTGTCAAACCTTGATCTTGGCCTTCCCAGCCTCCAGAACTATGAGAAAATAAATGTCTGTTGTTCAAGCCACCCAGTCTATGGTATTTTTTTGTGGCAGGCTGAGCTGACTAATACACAGGTCCTCAAGATCCCTGGGCATGGGGATCATGTCTGCCTTGTTCATTTTCGTTTCTTTCAGTTTATCATGATGCCTTTCAAAGGAGTAGGTACTCATTAAATATTTGAAGAGTAAATGAATAAATTGGTGTAGGATGAAGAGCTCCCCTGAATATCCATATTATGTCCATAAATAACATTTTATGAAAACACAGCTATGATCATTCATCTGTGAGTGTCTATGGCAGTTTTCCTGCTACAATGGCAGAGTTGAGTTCTTGCTATAGATATCTGGCTGTGATGGTTAATTTTATGTGGCAACTTGACTGAGCCACAGGATGCCCAGACAGCTGGTTAAGCATGATTTCAGGGTGTATCTGTGAGGGTGTTTCCAGAAGAGATTAGCATTTGAACTGGTAGACTGTGTAAAGTAGATGGCCCTCTCCAGTGTGGATGGGCATCATCCAATCCATTGAGGTCTGGAGAGAAGAAAAAGCTAGAGGAAGTTTGAATGAACTCAGCTGGACTGTTTGAGCTGGGACATCAGTCTTCTGCCCTTGGTGCTCCTGGTACTCAGGATTTCAGACCCAGACCAGAATCTATGGCTTTCTAGCTCTCAGAACTTCAAACTATACCACAGGCTTTCCTGGGTTTTCAAATGGCAGGTGGCAGATTGTGAGACTTCTCAATCTCCATTATCATGTGAGTCACTACCTCATAATACATAAATCTTTTCATATATACATATAAATGTAAGTGAGTGGGTATGTGTCTGTATGTATATGTGTGTGTGTGTGTGTATATATATATAATGATAAATAGATATAGATATATATATGTATATATAGGTTCTATTTCTCTGGAGAACCCTGACTAATACACTGGCCCAGAAAGCCTAAAATATACATATCATGACTTGAGCTTTCAAACTATCTGCATCCTGGTGTGAGGATGAAATGAGATGGTGTCTGTGAAATAGTTTATACTCAATTGTCCAGCTGTGTGACTTGGTTTATAGAAATCTTTCAGCCTGTGTCAACTCTAGATGGAAAATCACTTCCTTTCCCCCTGAAAGCTCCATGAAGGCAGGACCTGTGTCTCTCCTGATCTCTGCCTTGGACACGTTGAATAGTCAATATTTTTGAATGAGTGAATAATTAAACACATAGAAAACAGAACAAAGGAATTAAGAAATCCAGGCTACGGTGTGAATATCCCCGTTCTTTTGCATGTTATCGGTGTGAAAATCCAGTGAGGCTGGTTTCCCTGCTCATAGATTTTCAGCATCTGGAAGAGTCTTTTTAGGAAGGAGAGGCTTCAGAACCCAAAGAACTGGACCACACCTGGTCTTTTATATGTTGAATGTTTTCTGAGCACACTGTAGAGCACAGGAACATTCCAGATTTCACAGGAACTGAGTGTCGAGCATGTCCACATGACTTCCTTCACATTGCTGACATGAAGGATTTCTTGAAACACAAGCCACAAAGTATTCTTTTATCCTCTCTTCTGATTTTTCCATGGAATAAGAGGATATAGTTCAAAAGATATTTGAATAAACCTGGAAAGATAATATTTCAGACACTATTTTTAGGACTACAGAAAGATAACTTAAAAGTTTCCTTTGAAGAAAATAAGAAATTTAAGAAACCTTTAATCACAAAATTTCCTTGTCAGATGCATTTTTCAGGGTAAGGTGAATAGACCTTATCAGATTGCATTCTGCTTGACCCTGGTATTTTTCAGAAGTCCCATCTCCCTGCATTTCCTAACCCCCAAGTTACAGAAGCTAAAAGCAATTATATCTGCTACAGAAAATAATCAGTTTCAAAGTGTGATTTCTGATCCCTCTGCTTCAGAGTTTGTGATATGTTGCTTTATGCATGGAGTCATAAAAGAGGGCAGGTGTGAAATTAATGAAGCGTGGGAAATATTGTCTCTTGTTATTCGCTTAAGATAGAAAGGAAGAAGCATTAAATTCTCTTTTTCCCCCTAACCTTTCTATCTGCAATATGAGTCATTTATTCCTAGGTATACAGGAAGCTCAGTGTAATTTCTTGTGTTTGAGATGGGCAACTACACATGCTTATGTATACTCCAGAAGTTTATAAATACTGTACTTCAGGAAATTATTCAGACCTGAACATAAGAGAAAATATTGTGTTATTCTTGAAGGAGACTGCAGGAAGCCACAGAGGAGATGCCAGAATGGGGGTTAGACATCCTCACATCTTTACACAACACAGACAACAAATTTTAGGAGACAGCAGAAAATAATATTACACTAAGCAACGCATTTTCTTGGTCCTTTTCCCATAGATAGTAGAAATAGTTGAGATTACTTGAATTTAGGAGACTTCGTTGGCTCTCTGATGCCATTACTGTATTTCTCTCACAGAAAGTATGTTTCCTTTCTTCATATGTATGTCAACGTGGGAGTGGTGGTAAATATTTCTTCAAATATCTATAATATCATGGAGATTTCGGTGGCTCTACAATAGGTAGACGAAACCTATGTACCAGGTGTAGTAGACAGAATAATGATCCCCAAAGATGCCCACATCCTAATCTCTGAAACCTATGAGTATGTTACTTTACATGGAACATGGATTAAGATGAGGATGAGGTGGAAAAATTTTCGAGGATTTTCCAGGTGAGCCAATGTAATGACTAGGGTTTTTAAAAGGGAAAGAAGGAGGCAAAAGAGTCAAACATGGGAAAGGAGACATAATGACAGAAGCACAGGAGAGAGACACAGACACATTTGAAGATGCTACACTGCAGGCTTTGAAGATTGAGTGGATCAAGGTGCCACTAGACCAGAAATTCAGGCAGCCCCTAGAAGCTGGGAAAGGTGAGGAAATGGATATTCCTCTAGAATCTCCAGAAGGAGCACAGCTCTGAAGATACCTTGATTTTAGTCCCATGAGACCATTTTGACTTTCTACTTCTAGAACTATAAGATAAATTTGTGTTCTTTTCAGCAGTAAGTCTGATGTAATTTGTTACAACAGCAGTAGGGAACAAATACAATCAAAGTATAGAGGTGAAAGTATCAGTTTTCTAGGATTCTGGAGTGAGGGAAGCTTCGATTTGGTTCAGGGACTCCTAGAAACTAGCTCCCAGGGAAGAGGATATGGCCTTGCTGAGGCTGAGCTCACTCAAGAACGTGGAGGGTCTGTTAGCATTCCCTTAAACAGAAAGGTGTGGATTATTTGTTATTTTCTTTCTGAATGAGTGCAAGTCCTGAGCGGGACAGGGCTGTGATGCAGCAAGAATGGAGCCTCTGGGATCTGTGGGACCCTCCCTTGTGTGGACGACATCAGCTATACTGTGGGATGCTGCATAAGCTCCTGCTCCATTATATTGTGCATCCTTGGGTGAATCAACATTAACAGTGTTGGGAGGGATGTTCCGCCCCTCCCACCAAAGCACAATCCACTTGAAAACCAGAAAAGGGATGCAAAGTAATTAGTTCTGAGTCTAAGAAGACTGTCTCATTTGAAGGGAGGAGAGGAGGTATGCAATGGAGGATTTAAATGTTTAGCAATTGGATCAAGTTCACGTAGCAAGCACTTGGTAGAGCTGATATTTCATTCCAGATCTGTTTCAGTCTGGGAACTAAGATCTACTCTAACCTCAAGATCATAAGAAAATATTTGGGTGTTAATAGGTAGACACGAGGGTTAATAATAAAGCAGTAACTAAGGCAGAGAATTATCTTGAAATTCCCGAGAGAAAGAGGCACCATAAATTGATCAATAATTTTATTTGTTCAGTAGACAATTGTTGAGCACTTGGGAAGTGTTAGACGCTGGAGAGAGATTGATGAACAAGACACTTCCTGCCACATTTTGCAGCTGCAATTTGTTCATTCATTAATTTAATCAATCATGCAGCAATCATTTATTTAACATGTCTACATGTCTGGCCCTGTGTGAAGTGTTAGGGAACAAGAGGAAAGAAAAGCCACAAGGTGCCTGATTGGGCTGAAATGTAGAGGGAAGACAGACATTAATCAAATAGTAAAAATGAAGAGTAAAATGACTTGGACAAATGCTCTGCCAGAAAGATACAGTGGCTATCAGAGTGGAAAACAAGAGAGTTTGGCCTATTCTGAGCAGGGAGAGAAGGTGTTTTGGAGGAACTAACATATGAGTTGAGATCTGAAGGCTTACCTGTATTTGAGTCCAGAAAGTCAAAACAGTGTTTCAAGAAGAGGGAATATGTGCAAAGCCTTGATCCAAAGAGGCACAGTGCATTTAAAAAATTGAAAGAAATCTGCTGAGGCAGGAATAAGGGTGAGCACGTGGTAGATGAAGCTGGAGAGGTAAGCAGGAGACAACCCAAGCAAATTCTCGTTGAGTTATGGAATTGGGGTTTGATCCTACATGTAATGGATTTAAAAGAAGTGACATGATTTTATTTGTGTTTTGAAAAGATCCCTCTGACATAAACGATGCATGGGAAGATGACAAGAGTATAAAGGGCTGGTCAGTTGGGAGGATAGTGCAATTGCTCAAGCAAGTAAAGATGGCAGCCTGGGCAAGCAGGGGCTGATGAGGGTGGAGCCAGCTGGACATACTGGGGACATGTTGAGAAGACAGGAGCAACAGGAGTGTATAATGGACAGATTGTGGTGGGAAATAAGATAATTGTTTGAGAGAAAATTTCAGGTTCCAAACTTGTGCCACAGGATGGATGCAGTGCCACTCAGAGAGAAAGACACCATGGGAAAGGATTGGATTAGGATAAAGATTGCAAGTCTTATATTGGAAGGCTGAGTTGAAGGTGTCTTTGAGATACCAAAAAATGTCAAATAAGCAAGTGGAAATACCCCTAGAAATCTCAGAGGAGAGGTCAGAGCTAGAGAAACATACATGGCCATCATTTGCATCTAGATGGTGACTGGTCTAAGGAACAGATTACTATTGTCTAGGAGGAAAGAATTTCATGAGGATCGAAGTTGTTGAAACAATGCATTGGACGAGCTATAAAGGAGAAAGAGAGAAAAGGTAGAGAAAGAGGAAGAAAGAAATGGGGTGGTGTATAAGGAGCATATAGAGGGGATAAGGATGGAGAGTTTCATGAGAAAGGACGGGCAAATAGTGGCAGAAGTTTCTGAGAGGACTTTCAGGGACATGAAGATCATTGTAGGTCTAAGAGGTATATGTTTTGGTGGAATAATGGGGGAAAGAAACCATGTTTGCATGGGTTGAGGGAGTGAGTTCAAGGCAAGGAAATGAAGACATAGAGAAAAGTCAGCTCTTGGCTGGTAGCTAGAAGGGGGCCAAGTAGTACATGTTTGTAAGATAGAAAAGAAGCAAACGTGTTTCCATGACTATGGGAGGAACATAGTTGAGAAGGTGAGGGAAGGAAAGAGGGAGGGAGGGAGGAAAGGAAAGAGAGAGAGAGGGGATGTGTGAACAATAATGTAAGGATAATTGATAAGGCATGAAGGATGGGATCCAAAGTGGAGGTGGAAGCATTGTCTTCAGAGAGGAGAAGGGAAATTGAGTCAGACACAGCGATATGGAGAAGATGCACGTGGTGTTTGGTTGGTATGGCTGATGGCATGAGGTATGCAAAGTATCATGGTAATGACTGACTTTCTCTGTGAAATATGTGATGAGACCATTTGCTGAGAAAGGGAGGAGACAGAAGATTCAGCAGCGGAACCACTGCTGGGTGAACAAGGTAACAAGAGAAGGGAGAAGGACTACCTGGAAGCATAGTAGTGTCTTTTAAATGGGAACGACGACTCAAGGGATTTAATAGATGGAAGAGGTGAGAAAATGTAGGCAAAAGAACTTTGTAAGTTTAAGCCAGTAAGTGTTGCTTCTTACTAATCACTGCCATGAATCACCCCATGCCCTTCCTGCTTTTCCTTGCTGGTTTTGCAGTGGGTAGAGGGTGCTGAAATATCAGGCAGTGTTTTTTAGAAAGCCTAAAATGCTAGCTACCACTTATTTCTGTTTAATTCATAAATGTGTACATCATTTCCCTCCATTTCTGCCTTTTTGGGGGTACTGATGAGTGACTGTCAGGTAGCAGTGGGTGTAGAGGAAAAGGACAGAGCAATGCGGGTCTGAGGAAATGTGCATCACCACTTTAGATCACTGATTCTTGCTTGTCTAGGTAAGATGAACGGCACATAGCAGGTGTTCAGTAAGAGTGTGATGTATAAAAGTCTAGACAAACACCGTTCTCTAAGACGTAAGAGCAAAATATGTTTTTTTAAATAAGATTTTAAACTGAGCCAATTGCTAATGGTTAACGAGTCCAGCAGTAAACCAAGTGTGGGCAAACCCAGGGCATCCCCTGCTGCATACACAGGTTGCCCAGTGTGGGAGGCACGTGCTACTCAAGCAGATCAGTCAGTGGAGTATTCTGGGAGCACTTCATGATCTTACCATGTTGGGTTTGGAGGCATCAGACATGGCCCTGCTGGAGAGCGTGTACGTCTCAGACTCGCCTTTGATTTTTCTGACCCTTTTAAACCATTTCCCATATTGCTCCCGAACCTGCAGAGGCACAGTATACTCTGGGTCAGATGACTGAGAGGAGTGAGGATGCGAAGAGTCCTGAGTGGGAGTCAGGCAGTGGTACCTGCTGGCTGAGGAGGCAGTACACCAGGAAGATGAAGATGCCCTGCAGGCTGTTGATGATGGTGAAGAGGTAGGCCATGACGTGGGCAGCTGGACCCACCTGCAGGATTCCCAGACACCACGTGCAGCCCAAGATGAAGAGCTGAGTTGTGGCTTTAAATGTCAGCATCCTGGGGAGAAGGAGGAAGGAGGCCGGTGATGCACACAGAGCAACACAATCAAACAATTCTCATCTCCACCCCATGGATGCTCCTGCATTCCCCTGTTGGTAATGAATTCTCAGACTGCATTGTGATCAGCTTTGACCTTTACTGTCAATGATTCCCCACAGTAGACGTGTCACTCAGGTCCAGGGCAGTATTCTGATTTGGAGTGAGGAGGATAGTGATACTTCAAAATGTAAATTTCAAAAAAAAAAAAAATATTTTTATGCTCCATAGAGATCCTTAATTTCATTCAACCAACACTAATGAGGAGGTACTGCACCTTAGGCCATGTGCTGGGGCCTGGGCATTAAAAATAACAAAGGCAAGATTTCTATTTTCATTGGGAAAGGATAATGATAGGACATAGAAGAAAAAGCATTAAATTTGCACAAGGGTTCCTGGAGCAAAGGACTGCCCAAGTCTCCTAGATTTGATGGTGACTAGGAGTTTTTCCAGAGAGAGGAATGGATGAGGGAAGAGAAGGAGCCTTAACCGACAGTGAGGTATGAAATTGTAGCCTGGGATCTGGGAGCAAGCACAGATTTTTCTAAGTGCTTCAGGGGCACTTAAATGTTCTTTGTACTTTCGTCATAGGCTTGCTGACAAAAGTCCAAAGAATGTTTATCAATCAATGACAATCCTTCCTGTTGCTGAGGGAGTTACAAGCTGGGATTAGAGATGGACTGAACATTTTGACTGGGTGTCAGACACACACCACTGAATCTGATTTGGCCGCCTTTGAAGCATAACTGGGTATTGTACTCAAGTTCCCTCAGAAGACCCTGAGAAGGGACACCAGGGGCTGCTGAGGCACATGGCTTTGCTCTTGGGACCACACGTGTCTGTGGGGTTGTCACTCTCTTCTCCATCTTACCTTTTGTTCTGGAGGGTGGACACATCACTGTTGAGGGAAGAGAGTTTGCTTTTCAAAATCCAGAGGGTCACCAGAAAGAAAGATACATTGACCTTCAGAAAACCACAGAAGGTTTATTGAGTAGAATTTCCATCTGTTTCTGTATCCTAGCCTGTGTAACATCAATTCCACAATTAAGAAATTTTAATATTTTGTAACAGTGTTTCTAGTTTTTGGAGGAGTTTAGAAAACAAAACCAACTCCATGAGACGCCAAGGACATTCCTGCTCCTGTCCCCTCACTTATAATTCTGCTCTTCTAATTGCCCTCAGCTGAGCATTAAGGATGCTCTGATGTCATCACTCACAGAGAAGATGGCACAGACTGGTCCAAGGAAGCCCCATATGAATCCCTTTTCTGAGTGGAGCCAGCAGCTGAGCAAGAGAGAGAATAAAAAATGCATTGGTCCTTAGGGATATAGAACAATTATGTAAATTAATTCATTTATTCATTCTACGTTAAATATTGAGTGCCTTCTCTGTGATAGGGTTTGTGGTTGGCTCTGAACATACTGTGTTGAAGAAAGTAAACATCGTTTTATGTCCCCAAATCTCTCATCAGGTAGGAGACACTCAATTAGACACACTGTGACAATAAAACAACAACAAGAGGCTATGAGAATGTACCCTAGATGTCATGCTTAGTTCGGGGTCTAAGAGTTTAGGATTTTTAGGGAAGATTCCTAATGAAATAATAGGTCATTTGAGATATGAACAATGAGTGGATGTCTTTGAGCAAACAGTGTTGAAACAGGGGAGAAGTTTAAATTTTTAGGTTCACAGGACTCAAGTTTTCAAGAATCTTGTGAACATAACGTGGTTCTAAAGGGCCCTTCCTACACTATTCAATTTATTGATTTTTCATCTGCTGCAAAACTCATCCACTGAGTTTAAAATAATTTTTCTGGCTTTATTGAGATATATTTCACATACCATAAAATTCACCCACTTAAACTGTACAGCTCAACGATCTTTAGAATATCAGACCTGTGCAACCATCACTACAATCTACCTTCAGAAAATTTTCAACTCCTCAGGAAGAAACGTCAGTGTGATGTCAGCAGCATGATGGAATGAGTTATTTCCTTTGTCTCACCGCTTTAAGTTACAAACAATTGGAAATCCACTGACAACAGAAGACACCCTACACAGCACAACAGGACACCTAAGACATCCATGCATCTATACATTTGAAGGTAGGTGGACTGGATCGCAAGGAGGCAGTGGAACCAGAGGAGCAGCCCCCACTCCCTCCACTGGCAGCCATGGCTCAGGCCAGGTGTGCCCATACCAGTCTGATGCTGTGCAGTCAGAATCGAGAAGCATGGCTTGATCTTTGCCCATCCCTCATGGATCCAGCACATGCACCTGTCAACAGAGACTTTGGGAGCTGAAACACCAAGTGTGCCTTAGCCCCTGCACCGCCATCCAGCACTGGCTGGTGGTGCACACGTGCTGAGAATTCAGGACAGAGGGGATCCAGTGACCCAGCCCCCTTTCCCACCCCCAGTAATGGCCCACACTTTCCATCATGGGGAAAGTATGCAAAATTTGGATTTTACTGCATTGGGCAGGTCGCCCTGATATGAGTTTTCAAAACATACCAGCGAGCGCCAGAGACCAGAGGCTGTGCAGCAAGCAGCAACCACAACCGCTCTCTGCATAGCCTTTCTGCTCCCTCCCAGTAGTGGCAGAGGGAAACTGTGACCAGAGGCCTCAGGAGTCACAGCAGAAGTAGTGACCCAGCCCCAGTGGCAGCACCCACAACACTGGCTCCATCAGCAGCAGGGTCTGCATACAAATCCCCCGGTCCCTGGGCCACCAGCACTGACAGCAACACCTGTGAGCCCAGTGCACCTGGCAGCAGTGCAGGCAGCAAACTCAGACGAATGAGGAGCAGCAGCACAGGTAGGGCACAGCGCAACAGCATCTCAGGCCGTGGAGATGCCATGGAGAGCCAGTGGAGGAACACATGACCCAGGTGACCCCATAAGCAGCAGAAGTGCTCACAGTCTGGTGAGCCCCAGGGCATCACCTGGAGACTGCTGCAACATCATAAGCAGCAAGGCACCAGCAACTTCAGAGGCACAAACGGCACAAAGAGGGCACTGGCAACACCTCTAGCAGAGGCAGTGGAGGGTGGAAATGGCAGGCTCTCAAATACAACCATAAGCAGCTCAGAACCAAAGTAACCAAAGCTATACCCAAATAAGAAAGGTAGTTATTACCACAAATGCAGTGGCAGAAGATCAGTTCATCAAATACCATGAAGATGTACAGTAACATGGCAGAACAGAAAGAGAGTGACAACCCTCTAGAAACCAAACCTGAAGTCACAGAAAATTACAATCTAACTGACAGAGTATTCAAAATAGCTGTCACGAATACACTCAAGAAGTTACAGGAAAGCACGGAAAGACAGTTCAATGAGCTCAAGAATAAAATTAAGGAACAGAAGGAGTACAACACCAAAAAGAGTGAAACTCAAGCAAACAAACAAACAAAAAATAAAGAAAACAAAACAAAGAAATTGGGGTAATGAAGAGCACAATTAATGAATGAAAAAGAGCAAGCTTTAAAAATAGAGCAGACAATAAGCAAGAGAGAATTAGTGAGCTTGAAGATAGAAATTTAGAAATGATTCAGGTGGAGGAAGAGAGAAAGAACTAAGATTTTTAAAACATGAAGAAATTCTATGAGAAATATTGGACACAATTAGGAAAAGTAACACAAGGATAATAGGTATCCCAAAAGGAGAACAGAGGGAGAAAGGAGCAAAGAGCTTATTTAAAAAAATATTAGCTGAGAATTTCCCAAACCTGGGGCAGGAACTGGACATATGAAGCCAATAGAACTCCTAATCCCTCAATGCAATGAGACCTTCTCAAAGGCACATAATATTAAAACAGTCAAAAGTCCATGAGAAAGAGAATAGTAAGGGTAGCAAGAGAGAAGAAAATGACCTACAAAGGAACTCCCATGAGAATTTCAGTAAATTTCTCAGTGGAAACATTACATACTAGGAGAGACTGAAATGATATATTCAAAATACTGATAGACAAAAACTATAAGCCAAGAATACTATATGCAGACAAACAAAAGCTGAAGGAGTTCATTGCCACTAGACCTGCCTTACAAGAAATGATGAAGGGAGACCTCCTACCTGAAACAAAAAGGCAAAGGTTTACAAAGCTTGGAGCAAATTGCTAAATGACAAAATCAGAAAATTTCAGCTGTATACCAGAACAGGTGAGCAAACACTTAATTATAACATAAAGGATAAAGAGAAGGAAAGCATCAAAAAGAACTTCAATTTGGTCACACACTCAAATCCCCACTTCAATTTGGTCACAAACTCAAAACACATAAGAGAATAATTTGTGACAACATAGAAGGGGCAGAGGAAGGTGATGGAGCCTGCATAGGCTAATGAAGGTAAGACGCTATCAGAAAAAGGACTATCTAATCCATGAGACCTTTTATACAAACCTCATGGTAACCACAAAACAAAGAATCAGAGCAGAGTCACAAAGGAAAAATAAAAAGAAAACTGAGAAAACCATCACAGAAGACTACCAAACTGAAATGGCAGTCATAAATACAAGGGAAAAGAAACAAAGGAAATACAGAACAACCAGAAAACAAGGGACAAAATGGCAGTACTAAGCCCTCCTTTATCAATAGTCACTCTAAATGTAAATGGATTGAATTCACCAATCAAAAGACAGAGTGGCTGGATGGATTAAAAAACAAGACATAACAATATTCTATCTCCAGCAAACACATCTCAGCTCTAAAGACAAACATAGGCTCAGAGTGAAGAGATGGAAGATGATATCTGAAGGAAATGGCAACCAAAGAAAGTGGGTGTAGCCATATTTATATCAGCAAAACAGACTTCAAGAAAAAAAGTTAACAAGGGGCCAAGATAGGCATTATTTAATGAGAAAAGAGACATTCCATCAAAAAGATTTAACACATATTAATATATATGCACCAAACAGAGGAGCATGAAAGCATATAAAGCAACCATTAGCATACCTAAAGGGAGAAATTCATGGCAACACCATGATATCAGGAGACTTTAAAACCCCACTTGCATCAATGGATAGATCATCCAGACAGAAAGTCAACAAGGAAACAGTGGCCTTAAATGAAACACTAGAGCAGATGGCCTTAACAGATATATATAGAACATTCCATGCAAAAACAGCAGAACACACACTCCTCATAAGTGAACATGGAACATTCTCAAAGATAGAACATATGTTGGGAAACAAAGCAAGCCTCAATAAATTTAAGTAGATTGAAATCAAACATGTTTTCCAACCACAATGCTATGAAACTAGAAATCAGCTACAACAAAAAAGATGGAAGAGTCAAAAATATGTGGAGACTAATCAACATGCTAGTGGAAAACCTTTGGATCAATGAAGATATCAAAAGAGAAATCAAAAAATACCTCGATCAAATGAAAATGAAAATAAAATGTAATAAAATTTATGGGGTGCAGCAAAAGTGATACTAAGAGGGAAGTTTATAGCAATGCAGGCCCACCTGAACAAACAAGAAAAATCTCAAATAAACAATCTTATGCTATACATAACAGACCTAGGAAAACCAGAAGAAACAAAGCCTAAAGTCAGTAGAAAGAAGTACATAATAAATATCAGAGCAGAAATGAATGAAACAAAGACTAAACAAACAATAGAAGGATAAATGAAACCAAGAGCTGGTTCTTTGAAGAGATAACCAAAATTGATAATCCCTTAGCCAGACTCACTAAGACAAAAAGAGAGAAGATTCAAGTAAATAAAATCAGAAATAAAAAAGGAGAAATTACGACAACACAGAAAAACAAAGGATTATTAAAAACATACTATGAAAAGCTATACACCAACAAATTGGATAACCTAGAAGAAATGGATAAATTCTTACAATCATACAACCTCCCAAAACTGAATCAAGAAGAAATAGGGAATCTGAACAGATCAATCACAAGTAAAGACATTAAAGAGTTAATCAAAACACTCCCCCAAAACAGAAGTCCAGGACCAGATGGCTTCTCTGGAGAATTCTACCAAACATTCAAAGAAGACTTAATACCTATCCTTCTTGAAAGATTCCCAAATATGGAAGAGGATGGGACACTCCCTAACTCATTCCACCAGGCCAAAATTGCACAATACCAAACCAAGTTAAGGATGAGACAAAAAAGGAAAATACAGAACAATATCGCTGATGAACAAGGTTGGATTTATTCCAGGGATGCAGGGATGGGTCAACATCCACAGATCAATCAACATGATACAGCACATTTAAAAATGGAGAATAAAAATCACATGATGACCTCAATGGATGCAGAGAAAGCATTTGTCAAAATCCAACACCTATTTATGATAAAAACTCTCAAGAAAATCGGAATAGAAGGAAAGTAGTTCAACATAATAGAGGCCATTTTTGACAAACCCACAGCCAACGTCCTACTAAACAGTTAAAAACCTGAAAGCCATTTCTCTAAGAACAGAAACAAGGCAAGGATTCCCACTCTCACCGCTCTTATTCAACATAGTACTGGAGGTTTTAGCCAGAGCAATTACGCAAGAAAAAGAAATAAAAGGCAAACAAATTGGAAAGCAAGAAGTAAAACTGTCACTAATTGCAGAGGACTTGATTCTACATATAGAAAACCCTAAAGAATGCAAAAAGACTAGAACAAACAATCAACAAATACAGTATAGTTTCAGGGTGCAAAATCGACTTACAAAAATCAGCTGCATTTCTATACACTAATAACAAACTAGCAGCAAAGGAAATCAAGAACACAATCCCATTTACAAACAGAACAAAAAGAATAAAATACCTAAGAATAAATTTAACCAAGGAGGTGAAAGATCTATATACTTAAATCTATAAGACATTATTGAAAGAAATGGAAGAAAACATAAAGAAATGGATCGATATTCCAAATTCATGGGTTGGAAGAGTAAACATAGTTAAAATGTCCATATTACCTAAAGCAATCTACAGATTCAATGCAATCCCAGTCAGAATCCCAGACATAGAACATAGAACATATTGAACACACAGAACATAATTCACAGACATAGAACAAAGAATCCTATAATTTATGTGGAATAACAAAAGACCTGGAATAGCCAAGCAATCCTGAGAAAAAAGAACAAAGCTGGAGGTCTCACACTCTCTGTCTGCAAAATGTCCTACAAAGCTATAATAATCAAAACAGGATGGTGTTTGCAGAAAAACAGACACACAGATCAATGGAACAGAATTGAGAGCCCAGAAATAAAGCCAGACATCTACAGACAGCAAATGTTTGACAAAGGAGCCAAGAACATACAGTGGAGAAAGGACAGTCTCTTCAATAAATGGTGTTGGGAAAACCAGACTGCCACATGCAAAAGAATGAAAGTAGACCATTATCTTACGTTATACACAAAAATTAACTCAAAATGGATTAAAGACTCAGATGTAAGACCTAAAACCATAAAACTCCTAGAAGAAAACATAGGCAATATGCTCTTCAACATCGACCTTGTCAGTGTCTTTTTGAATACCATATCTACTCAGGCAAGGGAAACAAATTTAAAAATGAAGAAATGGGACTAAATCAGACTAAAAAGCTTAGGCACAGCAATGGAAACCATCAATGAAACGAGAAGACAACCCACCAACTGGGAGAATATATTTGCAAATCATATATCCAACAAAGGGTTAATTTCCAAAATAGATAAAGAACACATATAAGTCAGCAATAAAAAAATGAAGAACCCAATCAATAAATGGGCAGAGGATATGAACAGACATTTTCCCAAAGAAGATATACAGATGGCCAACAAGCACATGAAAAGTTGTTCAACATCACTAATTGTTAGGGCAACGCAAATCAAAACTACAGTGAGATATCACCTCATGCCTTTCAGAAAGGTTATAATTAAAAAGACAAGAAATAACAAATGTTGGAGAGGATATGGAGAAAAAGGACCCCTCATACACTGCTGGTGGGAGTGCACAGTGGTGCAGCCACTATGGGAAACAGTATGGAGATTTCTCAAGAAATTAAAAATAGAAATACTATATGATCCAGCTTCGACTACTGGGTATTTATCCAAACAACATGAAATCAATAATTCAAAAAGATATATGCAGCCCTATGTCATCACAGCATTATTCACAATAGCCAAGAGATGGAAGTAACCTAAGTGCCCATCAATGCTGGATGGATAAAGAAGATGTGGTATATATATACAATGGAATACTACGCAGCCATAAAAAACCCTAAAATCATGCCATTTGCAACAACATGGATGGACCTTGATGGTATTATGCTAAACAAAATAAGTCAGACAGAGAAAGAGAAATACTGTATTATTTCATTCATACATGGAAGATAAAGACATAGACAAGGAGAACAGAGTGGTGGCTACTAGAGGGGAAGGGAGTCTGGGCAGGAGAGGGTAAAGAGGCACACATGTATGGTGATGGACAAAAACTAGACTATTGGTGGTGAACACGTTGCGGTCTACACAGAAGGTGAGATATAATAATGTACGCCTGAAATTTACACAATGTTATAAGCCAATATGGCCTCAATAAAATAATTTTTAACAAATTGCAGATGCCACCCCAGGAATTTCTACCTGTTTGTAAAACTAAAGGACTGAAAACAATCTAAATGTACATCAATATAGGGCTAGTTATTGAAATTACAAAACATTTATATAATAAAATATTATGCTCCTATAAAAAAGGAATGAAGAAGCTCTGTAAGTATAGCTGAAGAATCTTCAAGATTCATTGTTACATGAAAAAAATCAAAGTGGAGAACAATGTGTATGGTATGCACCCATTGGTACTGAAGATATATTTTTAAAAAATATGTGATTTGATATTAATAAAATGCTTTTGATAGAAAAAAAGGAAACTTCACTTACAGTAGCAGTCAGACCTCATAGTGACTTTCAGGCACCCTACCCCAGACTCTAGCCGCAGTGCACCATTAATCTTCTTTCTGTCTCTATATTTTTGTATATATTCCACACTTCCCATAAACAGAATCATAAAATATGTGATCTGTTATGACTGGATTCTTTCATTTAGCACAGTGTTTTCAAGGCTCATTCATGTTGCAGCATGTCTTCATGTCTGAATAATATGTTTTAGTCATTTTAATGGCTCAGTAATATTCCCTTCTATGGATATGTCACATTTTATTTATCCATTCATCAGTTGGTGGGCATTTAGTTGGTTTCCAGTTTTTGGGTATTTTGAATAATGTTGTTATGAGCATTCATGTACAAGTTTTTGTGTGGACATATGTTTTCACTTGTTTTGGGTATGTACCTAGGAGTGGAATTGCTGGGTCATGTGGCAGCTATATGTCCCACCTTTGAGAAACTGTCAAACGGTTTTCCAAAGTGGCTGCACTATTTTACATTCTAGTCAGCAATGTATGAGGGTTCTAATTTTTCCACATCCTTGCAAACATTTTCTTCCTGTCTGTCTTTTTAAAAACTTTAGCCATTTAACCTAAAGTGTATGAAGTGATACCGCATTTTGTAGTTTTTGATTTTCATTTTAATAATGACAAATGATGTTGAGCATCTTTTCATGCACTTATTGGTCATTTATATCTTTAAAGTAATGTCTATTCAAATCTGTCAATTTTTAAACTGAATTATTTGTCTTTTGCTGTTGAGTTACTCAATTTAATTTTAACAACAGTGCAAAACAAAAGTTCTCTTATGTTCAAAATTGGTTACTGAGGCATAGAGAGCTTATGTCTGTTGCTCAAGGTTTTACTGTCAGACAGTGAGAGAATCCACTCTTGATCCCACAGGAGGGTAAAGTGGAGAGCGGGGCAGACACCTGAGGACAAGGAGAGTGTGGAAGGACAGCAAAGCACACACTGAGAGGAATGTAATCAGGAAAGAACTGAAGTGTCCAAGGAGGACACCTGGAAAGAGCTCAGCTGACGCAGGTGAACATGAATTTTAGCAGCACGTCCTGGTTAAGAGTGCACGTCCTGCGGGACTGAATTCCTGAAGAGAGGAGTGAGGACCTGGGTAAACGTGCTCTCCTAAAACAACAAAAATATAAGCAAAACAACTAAAAGAACAATTTCAAGACTCTAGCAATTATCCAAAGCCACAGATCAAACTAGAAGTAGTCTATCCAAAAGCAACTACAGAAGCTCGATGAGAATGGAGAGGAAGGAGTCTGTGATGTTTTAACGTGGAGTCATTTCCATTTCTTCTCTCCCCAGCTTAGTGGTTCAGCAGCAAAGACTTGCTAGCCTTTCAGACAACAGAGAGATCTGACTATTAGAGATCTGTTAAAGGCGTCATCATCATCCCCAGAGCACAGCTGGTATTTTGTTCTGACCCTTTGACTCCCTGGGAAGATTTTATTCTCCAAATTTGGTGGCTATTTGATTCAACTGAGAGCTCATCTCAGTGGGGGACAAAAAGGCCTACTTCCTGGGCAATAGCAAAACAATAGCAAACTACTGTCACACCACTAGCTGTCTAAGGCTGTGACTTCAGGTTGGGCCAACAAGAACTTGTCTGGGAATTTAAAAGGAAATACTGGAGCACTAAAGGACCACAGGGAATCTTGAAAAGCTCTGAAATCTTCCTGGAAACCTAAGGATGCACAAGGCTGTGCCCATGCTCAGGAAAGGACTGGGGACAAAGAAGGCACCAGTCTCTCCTCTCTGGCTGACCTTGAGGCTTTGTGCCACCAGAAAATGAGAGCTCAGTCTGTTATACAAGCTTCCTGAAGTTTGCAGGTGTGCCTTCTCACACACATATCTTGTAAAAGAGTTGAAAACATATAGGCAAGGCATGTAAGGAAATCTTCTGCCCAAAGATTGAGTGGCCACTAAATTGTCCTGAACCAGGTATGACCTCCTGGGCACCCAGGATTAAAAATAAAAACAAGAACTTCAAAAAGCTAGCAGAAAACTCAGAGGCCGCATACTACAGAGAATGATCAATGCACAGGATTAGTTCAGGAAAGTCAGTAACAAACAAACAACAACAAGCTAGAAATAAGAACCAGACTTTGAGGAATCTTATAACAGGAGTGTTACTATATATGGTCTAAAACACTTGGTTAAATTAAAATTTATGATATACACAAAAAAACCAAAAAGTATGCCTCACACACATGGAAAAAAATCAGTCATAAGAAAATGTCCCTGAGGAGGCACAGGTTTTGGGCTTAGTACACAAAGTCTTAAATGAGTTACTATAAATATATTAAAAGAACTAAAATAAACCATGTCTGGAAAATTAAAGGCAAGTATGAAAACAATTTCCCCAAATAAAGAATATGAAAGAATTATGAATGGAACAAAATAGAAGTTTTGGAGTTGAAAAGTACAATAATTGAAATGAAAAATTATTCCAAGGGGCTGGACAACAGAATTGAGCAGGCAAAAGAAAGACTTTATAGGTCCAGCCCCAGTGGCATAGTGGTTCAGTTTGGCATACTCCACCTCAATGGCCCGGGTTTGGATCCTGGGCACAGACCTACACCACTTGTGGCTGTGCTAGGGTGGCAACCCACAGACAAAATAGAGGAAGATTGGCAACAGATGTTAGCTCAGGGCAAATCTTCCTCGGAAACAACAAAAAGAGAGAATTAATGAAGTTGAATATAGGTCTATAGAGATTATGCAGTCTCAGGGAGAGGAAGAAAATGAATGAAGAAAAATGGACAGCACCTCAGAGACGTGTGGCACAGGACCAAGTGCACCAACATGTACATAATTGACATCCCAGAAAAAGACAAAGCAAAAGGGCAGAAAACTACTTAAAGAATCAATGGCTGAAAACTCCCTAAATTTGAAGAACAATAATTATCTACACATCCAAGAAGCTCAGTGAACTACAAGTGGAATAAACTCAAAGAGAGCCACACCTCAGGACATCAGAGACCTAGTAACAAGAGTCAAAGATGAAATCTATAGAGTGGAGAGAAAACCAATTTTTCACGTACAAAAGGTCCTCAATAAGATCAACAAATGATTTCTTGTCTGAAATCCTGGCAGTCAGAAGGCAGTGGGATAACACCTTCAAAGAGTCAAAAAGAGTTAGTCAACCAAGCCTTCCGTATCTAGCTAAATTGTCCTTGAAAAAAAGAAATTCAGTCATTTCAAGATAGACAAAAATAAGATAAGTCTTGCTAGCATAGCTGTCCTACAAGAAATACTAAATGAGACCTTCAAACTGATAGGAAAGGAAATTAGGCAGTAACTTGAATCCACACAAAGGACTAAAGAGTGCCAGTAAAGGTAACTACATGGGTATCAGGAAAGGCACTATAAACTTTTTCTTGTTTGTAACTCTTTTCTTCTCCTGTTTTAAAAGACAACTGCACAAAGCAATACTTATCAAACTGCGTCAATGGTTTATGACAATAATAGTACAAAAGAAGAGGAAGGGAATAGAGAAACATTGGAAGAAAGTTTTGTATAGTACTGAAACTAAGTTAGATGCTAATTGCAATCCTCAGAAAACTCAAAAAACATAGTAAAAGAAACAATGGAATTGAAAATGTACACTAGGAAATGTCTATTTAACACAAAAGAACACAGAAAATGAGGAATAGGAGAATTAAAAAAGCTATAAGATATACAAGTAAGAAATGTCAAATGGCATACACACTCTGCATTATCAGTAATTACATTATAAATCAATGCATTAGACACCCCAATCAAAAGTCAGAGAATGGTAGTATGGATTAAAAATTTTTATTCTATCTACTGGAAGTCACACTTTGGATTCAAAGACAAAAATAGGTTGAAAGTAAAAGGACAGAAGGAGTAACGAAATGAGAGCTGGGGTGGATATATTAATATTAGACAAAGTAGACTTTAAGATAAAATTGTTAAAGACAAATAGGACATTTTAAAATAATAAGAGGGTCAATCCATCAGGAAGATATAACAACTGTAAACATACACGCACCAAACAACAGAGTCCCTAATACATGACGCAAAACCCGAGATTGAAGGGAGAAATAGACAATTCAACAACAATAGTTGAAGACTTCAACACCTCTATAGTGGGTTTGATAGTGACCCCCCAAAATATGTGTCCAAGTCCTAACCACTGGTACCTGTGATGGCGACCTTACTCAGAAATACGGTCTTCCCAGATGTAATTAAGGATCTCAAGATGAGATCATCCTCAATTTAGAGTGGATCCTACTTCCAATACGTATTGTCCTTGTAAGAGAAAGAAGAGGGATATTTCAGAGGCAGAGGCACAGAGGAGCAGGCCACTGGAAGACAGAGGCAGAGATCAGAGTTATGCTGCCCCCAGCTGGGGAATGACTGGAACCACCAGAAGCTGGAACAGGCAAGGGAGGATTCTCCCCTGGGCCTTCAGCGGGATTGCAGCCCTACCAACCTGCCTTGATTTTGGATTTCTGGCCTCCACAACTGTGAGAGAATATATTTCTGTTATTTTAAGCCACCAAGTTTGCAGTGCTTTGTTAACACATCCTTAGGAGCTCATACAATGTCACCTTGAAAAATGGATGAATAATGAGGCATAAGATCAACAAAGAAATGGAATATATGAACAACACAATAACCGATGAGATCTAACAGACATTGAGAGAAATTCAATTCAACAACAGAAAATGCATATTCCTCTCTAGTGCATGAGGACCGATCTTTTTGATAGGACAGACCATAAGTCAGAGGTTAAAAGAAGCCTCATAAAATTTTAAAAATTAGAATCATACAAAGTATTTTTTCTGACCACAAATGAATGAAATTAGAAATCCACAACAGAAGAAAATTTGAATTTCATAAATACATAGTAATTAAAAATGCTTCCAAATAACCTATAGGTATGGTCCATTGAATTTCAATAGGGATATCTAGACAATTCAATGGAGAAAGAATATCCTTTCCAACAAATGGTGTTTTGAAAACTGGGTATCCACATGCAAAATGATAAAATTAAGCCCCTACCTCACACAATACACAACAATTAACTCAAGAGCTATGTTAGACATAATTGTAATAGCTAAAACCATAAAATTTCTAGAAGAAAAAAATTGGAATAAGTCTTTGTGTCCTTGAGTTAGGCAATGGTTTCTTAGATATGATATCCTAAGCACTAAAACAAAAGAAAAAATAGGTAAATTTGACATCCTTAAAATGAAAAACTTTTCTGCTTTAAAGCACATTATGAAGAAAATGAAAAGACACAGATTGGAAGAATATATTTAATCATGTAGTGATAATGGCCTAGCATCCAGAATATATTAAGAACTCTTACAACTCAACAATAAAAGGACAAAATCCCAATTAAAAATGGGCAAAAATTTTGAACGAGTATTTCTCCAAAGAAGACATGCCAATGGTCAATAAGCACATGAAAAGATGCAAAACGTCATTAGTCACTAGGGCAATGCAAATATAAACCCTTATAAAATATCACTGCACACTCAATAGGATGGCTAGAATAAAAATGTAGACAATAACTGTTGACAATGATGTGGAGAAATTGAAACCCTCATATAGTCCTGGTGGACATGTAAAGTGGTACAGACACCTTGGAAAACAGGCAGCAGTTTGTCAGAATGCTCAACATAGATTTGCCATATGACCCAGTAGTTCTACTTGTAGATATATACCCAAGACAAATGAAAACATATATACTCACACAAAAACTTGTACATGTATGTTTATAGTGGCATCATTCATATTTGGAAAAAAATGGAAATAATCTAAATGTTTATCAACCGATGGGTGGATAAATAAAATGTGGTATATTCTTATAGTGGAATATTACTTACAAAGCAACACCACCAGCAACAACAACAAAGAATGGGGTCATGAAACTTGCTACAACATGGACAATCCATGAAAACATCATGCTAAGTGAAAGAATCCAGTCACAAAGACCACATGCATGAGTTCCTTCAGTGAAATATCCAGGATAGGCAGATCCACAGAGACACAGAGCAGATGAGTTACTGTCACAGGCTGGGTGGAGGCGTGGGTGGCAGGAATGGGGAGTGAAGGTTAGTGTACACCAGGTTTCTTTGGTGTACAAAGAAACAATTCTTTGTACAATTCTTTGGTGAATTGAACATGTTCTAAACTTAGATTGTGGTGATGGCTGCACAACTCTGGTTATTCTGAAAACCACTGATCTGGACACTTTAAAGGGGTAAATTTTAGGTATGTGAAATATATTTCAATAAAAATGTGAAAACAGTCAACGTGGTAGTAAAAGATGGAAATAAAAGATTGCAAGCTCGGGAGTTTGACTGCCTGGATTCAAATGCCAGCTCTGCTAGTTTCTATCTGTGCACCTTTGGGCATTTACTTAAACTATCTGTGCCTCAGTCTACCCCTCTGTAAAATGGGGCAAATGACAGTATGCATCTGCTTCACAGTATTGGTGTGAGGGTTGATTAATTAACACATATAAAAATGGTTAGAAATGTGCCTGGCCCACAACAAGCACCTTGTAAACCTTAACTATGATAGAGTCTATTATTTTGATTATTCAGATCAGCTCTACTATTATAAATGAAAAATTGGAATGTCCTTTGTATTTAGATAAAGAAGCAGGTTAGAATTTTTTAAATGATGTCCTAACTACTTCTTTTTAAAATTTTTTATTTTATTTTATTTGCTTTTGTTTGAGGAAGATCAGCCGTGAGCTAACATCCATGCTAATCCCCCTCTTTTTGCTGAGGAAGACCAGCTCTGAGCTAACATCTATTGCCAATCCTTCTCCCTTTTTCCCCCCAAAGCCCCAGTAGATAGTTGTGTGTCATAGTTGCACATCTTTCTAGTTGCTGTATGTGGGACGCGGCCTCAGCATGGCCGGAGAAGCAGTGCCTCGGTGCGCACCCGGGATCAGAACCCGGGCCGCCAGTAGCGGAGCACAAGCACTTAACCACTAAGCCACAGGGCCGGCCCCCTAACTACTTCTTTTGATTTAATCTTTGCAATTTCAAGGACAGAGATCTAAAAACATTCTCCCTAACTATTAATATCTTCCACCCAGAAAAATGCCCTGTGGATTATTACTTAGTGTCTCTCTCCATATTATGCTCTGGCATGATCAAAGTGCTCTGTTGGTTCTACGATGGCCATGGTCGTGCTGGGGAAGACAAGGACAGAGGAAATTTGCATTTACCGGGTGGGTGTTCCATAAAGGTGAGGTCTGGATGCTGCAGAAATGGCCACAATCACAGCCGGGACCCCGTAGCCCACAGGGAACATGAGCTTCTTCATGAACCTGCTCGCGCTGGAGTAGTTGACCACCGTCAGGTTGTGAGCAGTGAGGAAGAGGTGCAGGCCCTCCAGCAGCATCCAGGTGAAGGAGGCCAGGTAAAGATAGTGTAAGGCACCCGCGATGAGGGCGCACAGCACCTGGGGGTGGAGGAGGTGTCAGCAGGAGGGAAGGTCAGGGTGGAGGGTGGCCCAGGACCTCTCCTGCACCTTGCCCCTGGGGAGGACTCTGAGGAGCATGTAGGAGTTGTCCGAGAGGGTTTTTCTTCCAGTTGCATCAGTGAGTGTGAAACTGGCTACTCACCCCTCACCTTCCCAAAGACACAAGATCATTTTATTACAGTATCCAATGCAGCGTGGCTCCGTGGACTCAGCACCCCAGGGGCAGTGCAGAGGGCCCACTGGGCCAGAGTCAGTACCTTGATCTCGGTTTGGTCGATGGCCGTGAGGAAGAGGAGGTGGGCCAGGAGGAGACAGAGGGAGAGCTGCAGGTGGAGCGAGGTGCTGGTGTTCTGGATGGCTCTGCACAGCAGGAAGGTGAGGGCCGCCAGGAGGAGGCACAGCAGAGAGAGGCCCAGCCCCACGTAGGAGATCACAGCCAGCACAGGGTCCTCCTCCTGGGACCCGGCAAAGAGACCACAGTCACGCCTTCCTGCTCCTGCTTCCACCATTTTTATTTTTATTTTTAGTAATAGAAATATTAGGAATGGAGGAGCCAGGTAAATTTGTGATGTTTATGGCTAAGTACCTACAGGTTCACAATGTTAGAATTTTATGGGATTCTGAATTGATTAACTCAGACCCTGGACAAAGCCTTGGAACTCACAAGGGCTTATTTTTCTTTAGGGGTCACCTGATTGAGTCTCTGGCTTTTGAGACACAAAGAAAGTAAGCAGGTCACCCGGTGTACACACAACTTCTTCCAGATTTTTAAGCAAAAGCCAATCTACGTGCTGCTGTGAAGGGATTTTGCAGATGGAGGTCCTATATGAAATGAATTTAAGAAAAGAGTTTATCTGAGTGGACCCGATCTAATCAGCTGAACCCTTTAAGATCTTGGCTCTTACTGGAGAATAAGATTCAAACTTAGAGAGAGTTTTGATGTGAGGGAGCTTCTGCTGCCTGCCTTCCAACAGGAACACAGATACCTTGTGACACAGCCTATGAGAGGGCCACGTGAGAAGGAACGCAGATAGCCCATAGATGCTGAGCATGGTCCACTGCTGTCAGGTAGCAAGAAAGTGGGCCCTGAGTCCTACAGCTGCAAGGAACTGAATTCTTCCAGTGACCAGTGAGCTTAGAGGTGGACAAAAAGCCTCAGAGGAGAGGCTTGTAAGACTTGTAAGATCCTGAGCAGAAAAATCAGCTATACCATGCAGGACTGCTGACCTGCAGAAACTGGGAGATAATATATTTGTGGTTCCATTTAACTGCTATGTTGTGGGAATATGTTACAGTGAGATGCACACTGAATGCAGCCCTCTCAGGGCCCTCACCTGCATGTCATAGTGGGCCATGAGGACGGCGAAGCTGCTGAGGTGGGTGCACTGGCAGGTGGTGCTGGTGTCTCTGGTGCTCACCACCCTGCAGCCTGTGGTGGCCCAATGACCACATCCATTTGGGCTACGCTCCAAGAAGACACAGAACTCCCTCTGCCTTTGTCCAGTGTTCACTGACTGTAGGAACAGGGTGAAGATGTGAGCTGGTGGTTCTGGTTCTCAGAAAGAATGACCCAAAGCTAGCTCATGGAGGGCTTTCCTGGGGAGTTGATGCACCCGTAGGGGAGCCTCCCTGAACCCCAAGGCTGTGCCCAGGACTCAGGCCTCTTTCACACCCACAGCCCATCCCACCTGGACTCACGTGGTTAAAGATGAAGGTGACTGGGGTGCTAAGGTTCTGGGTGTCCTTGCTGCTCATAAAGGCAGTGAAGACATCTGACAGCAGGACAGGGGAGACTACCTGCAGCAATTGCTTGTGTGTCTCATGTCCAACTACCCGCTTCTCAGGCTCCAGGACCAGGGGGGCCTCAGCCAGCAACTTACCCATCCCTGGCGTGGAGACAAGGCCCACCAGAGAACGACCTGCAGGAGAAGGCTAAGGTTGATGTCTTGGCATCCCCAACAGGACCCCTTCTCTTCTGATGAACTCTTTCCTTGTGTCTCCACCAGATCCCAAACATCCTTTTAACATTTAATGCTCCATTTGTCAAATCCCTGGGCACTTATACTATGAAGCCTCAGTGACCTTCTCCCCATCTCAGCTGTTACCTGAGTCACCAGATTTCTGCACCACATCCCAGTTCAGCAGCATCTTTGCCTGATTCTGACTCAAGATGACATTCCTGTCTCCTTGCTCCAGCACCTCCATGGACAGTTCTATGAGTTGTGGGAGTTAGCTTAGTAATTGTGCTGCAGTGGTTGATATAATACCATTATTTCACATATGCATGTATATATATATATATATATATACATATATATACACCAAAATTATGTGTAACACTATTAATTTTTGTCCCATACAAAACCACTATTTTATATATACTATAATATTGCATATAATATTTGGTATAAATAATAATGGTATATATATATGCATATCATCTGAATTTACAAAGGCTTGTCGCAGAAACTATGAGTAATTTTTCAACAACAAATTAGATAACCTAGATGAAATGGACAAATTCCTAGAGACACACAAACTACAAAAGTGACTGAAGAAGTAATAAACAGTCTGAACAGGCCTACAACAGGTAAAGAGATTGAATCAGTAATCACAAACTACCCAAATGAAAAGCTCAGACCAGATGGCTTCACTAGTGAATTCTGCCAACCATTTAAGGAAGAATTAACATGAATCTTTTGTAAACTCCTCCATAGAACAGAAGAGGATGGAGCATTACCTAAATAATTTTATGAGGCCACCATTACCCTGAAAACAAAACCAGAGAAAGACATCACAGGAAAACAAAACTGTAAACCAATATCCCTTATGAACATAGACGCAAAAATCTTCAATGAGAGTGGCACAAGCATTATGGTGGAGTGAGCTCTCCCCTTAGACTTTACCCCAAGAGACAATGAAAAGGACATTTACAAACCAACAGAGGACATTCGCACAGCAGAAATTACGTTGGAGAGACCCAGGCAGGCATATGTCAGAAGGTGGAGGTGCTGGACCCCCAGAGGAAGTGTAAGGAGGTAAGGGGACCTTCTCTCCCTCTCCCACAGCAGTCTAGGGTGAAGCACCACGTGCAGCTCTGAGAAAAGAGGGGAGAGGGACAGCTCTGTATGGGAATTCCTTTGCTCTCAAGTTCCCTCACACCCAAAGGGAAAGCTCCACACCGAGGGCACTGAGCTATTGCAGGAGTATCTTCATCAAGCCAGCACCCCAGGAGGGCAGATAACGAGGACAGAGCCAGAATGCCCCCGGGATTGTGCATGCAAAAGAAAGAGGCCCTGCCACGGCCCGGCACATCAGCTTGCCTGGCGGACCAGGACACAGGATCCCCACCAAAGCATCCAGCGGTGTGTCAGAAAAGCAGCAGCTGGGGGTGGAAATTGCAGACAGGACCTGTCAGCATAGATTCCAAAGGACAAGCACAGATGGCAGGGATCATGGCAGGCTCAGAATACACAGCTCCTGACACCACCCCCAGTGGCGGCAGGTGGAAATGCAACCAGATACTATCACTATGTGAAGGCACAAATCCACTCGATCAAATAGTATGAAGAAAAATATTAATACTCCAGACCAGAAGGAAAGTGACAAGCACTCAGAATTCAATCCTGACGGCATAGAAATTTACAATCTAAATGACAGAGAATTCAAAATAGCTATCATGAAACTCGAGTTACAAGAAAATTCAGATAGTTCAATGAAATCAAGAAAAAATTAATGAATGGAGGGAATTCTCCACAAAATAGGTTGAAACTATAAAGAAAAACCAATCAGAAATGTAGGAGATGAAAAACTCTAATAATGAGAGAAAGAAAAATCTGGACTCCTTGAGTACCAGAGCTGATAATATGGTGGGTAGAATTAGCAATCCAGAGGACAGAAATATAGAAATGCTTCAGAGGGATAAGGAGAGAGAACTAAGATGAAAAAGAAATATAGAAATTCTCTGAGAAATAGCCAATTCAATTAGGAAATGCAACATAAGCACTATAGGTATTCCATGGGAGAACAGAGGGAGAATGGAGCAGAAAGCTTGTTCAAAGAAATAATAGCTGAGAACTTCCCAAACCTTGGGAAGGAGCTGGAATTAAAAGCAAAAGAAGCTAATAGAACTCTTAATTACATCAATGTAAAAAGTCCTTCACCAAGGCATATAATTGTAAAACTGGCAAAGTCAAAGACAAAGAAAACAATATTAAGGGCAGCAAGGGAGAAGAAAATAACTTACTAAGGAACCCCTATCAGGAGTTCAGCAGATTTCTCAGCAGAAACCTTACAGGCTATGAGACAGTGGGATGATATATTCAAAATTCTGAAAGACAAAAAGTTTCAGCCAAGAATACTCTATCCAGTGAAACTATCCTTCAGATATGATGGAGAAATAAAATCTTTCCCAGATAAAGAAAAGAGGAGAGAGTCCATTGCCACAAGACCCCTCATACAAGAAATGAAGAAAAAAAGAAAGAGTTTACAAAGCTTTGAGCAAGAAGATAAATAGGCAGATGAAATCTGAAAATCGTAGCTCTCTGTCAGAACAGGTTAGCAAACACTTAATTATAACACTAAAGCTAAAGGGAAGGAAAATTTCAAAAATAACTATAATCTCCTCATTTTAACCACAAGCTCACCACACAAGATGGAATAAGTTGTGACAACAATAACTTAGAAAGGGAAGAGGAAAGGGATGGAATCAGCTTAGAATAAGGAAATAAGAGGCTATCAGAAAATGGACTATCTCATCTATGATATTTTTTATAGAAACCTTATGGTCACCACTAAACAAATAATCTGAACAGAAACACAAATGATAAATACATAGAAATCTGAGAAAACCGTCATAGACAATCACCAAAATGAATAGGCAGTCCAAAATACATGGGATGAGAAACAAAGGAAATACAGAACAATCAGAAAATGAGTGATACAATGGCAGCTTTAAGCCTTCATATATCAATAATGACTCTAAATGTAAATGGATTGAATTCTCCAATAAAAACACAGAGACTGGCAGGATGGATGAAAAAACAAGACCCAACAATATGATGCCCCCAGGAAACACATCTCAGCTCTAAAGACAAATACAGGCTCAGAGTGAAGGGGGGGGAAGGTGATACTCCAAGCTAATGGCAAACAAAAGAAAGCAGCTGTTGCCATACTTATATCAGACAAAGTAGACTTCAAGATAAAACAGGCAATGAGAGACAAAGAGGGGCAGTATATAATGATAAAAGGGACACCCCACCAAGAAGACATAACACTTATAAATATATATGCACCTAACACAGGAGCACCAAAGTACATAAAGCAACTAATAACAAACCTAAAAGGAGATATTAACAACAACACAATAATAGTAGGGGGAATTAATAGTGGTAGGGGACCCACTTACATCAATGGATAGATCATCCGAACAGAGTGTCAACAAGGAAATAGTGGAATTAAACAAAACACTAGACCAGATGGACTTAATAGATATATATAGAAGATTCCATCCCCAAACAGCAGAATACACATTCTTCTCAAGTGCCTATGGAACATTCTTCAGGATAGGCCATATTGGGAAACAAGGGAAGCCTGAATAAACTTAAGAAGATTCAAATCATACCAAGCATCTTTTCTGACCATAAGGATATGAAACTAGAAATCAACAAGAAGAAAAAAGCTGGGAATGTTACAAATATGTAGAGACTAAAGAAAATGCTACTACACAACCAATGGATCATTGAAGAAATTAAAAGAGAAATCAAAAAATATCTAGAGACAAATGAGAATGAAAATACACCATACCGACTCATAAAGGATGCAGCAGAAGTGATCCTAAGAGGGAAAATCATAGCAACACAGGCCCACCTTAACAACTGAAAAAACTCTCAAATAAGCAATCTTACACTACACCTAACAGAATTAGAAAAAGAAGAACAAACAGCGCCAGCTTGCAAAGTCAGCAGAAGGAGGGAAATAATAAAATTAAAGCAGAAATAAATGAAATTAAAACAAAAAAGAAAAGTATCAATGAAACTAAGAGGTGGTCCTTGAGAAGATAAATAAAATTGACAAACCCATAATCAGACTCACTAAGAAAAAAAAAGAAGGCTCAAATAAATAAAATTAGAAATGAAAGAGGATAAATTACGACAGACACCACAGAAATACAAAGGATTATAAGAGAATGCTATGAAAAACTATATGCCAACAAATTGGACAATCTAGAAGAAATGAATAAATTCTTAGACTCATACAACCTCCCAAAACTGAATCCAGAAGAAATAGAGAATCGGAATAGACCAATCACAAGTAAAGAGATTGAAGCAGTAATCAAAAACCTCCCAAAAAGTAAAAGTCCAAGACCAGAAGGCTTCTCTAGAGAATTCTGTGAAACTTTCAAAGAAGATTTAATGCCTATCCTTCTCAAACTATTCCAAAAAATTGGAGAATACAGAAAACTTCCTGACACATTTTATGAGGCCAACATCACCCTGATCCCAAAGCCAGACAAGGACAACACAAAGAAGGAAAATTACAGGCCAATATCACTGATGAACATAGAAGCCAAAATCCTCAACAAAATATAGGCAAACCAAATACAGCAATACATTAAAAGGATCATACACCATGATCAAGTGGGATTTTTAGCAGGGACGCAAGGCTAGTTCAACATCTACAAATCAATCAATGTGATACACCATATTAACAAAATGAGGAATAAATACCGCATGATCATCTCAATAGATGCAGAGAAAGCATTTGACAAGATCCAACATCCATTTATGATTAAAAACTCTCAATAAAATGGATATAGACGGAAAGCACCTCTACATAATAAAGGCCATATATTACAAACTCACAGCCAACATCATACTCAATGGGGATAAAACTGAAATCCATCCCTCTGAGAACAGGAACAAGACAAGCGTACCCACTCTTGCCACTCTTATTCAACATAGTACTAGAGATTTTGACCGGAGCAATTAGGCAAGAAAAAGGAATCCAACCAGGCAAGGAAGAAGTGAAAGTCTTGCTGTTTGAAGATCACGTGATCTTATATGTAGAAAATGCTAAAAAATCCATCAGAAACTATTAGAAATCATCAAGAACAGCAGGAAAGTTGCAGGGTACAAAATCAACTTACAAAAATCAGTTGCATTTCGATAATCTAATAATGAACTAACAAAAAGAGAACTCAAGAATACAATCCCATTTACAATCACAACAAAAAGAATAAAATATCTAGAAATAAATTTACCAAGGAGGTGAAAGACCTATTCAATGAAAACTCTAAGAATCTATTGAAAGAAACCGATGATGGCATAAAGAAATGGAGAGGTATTCCATGCACATGGATTAGAAAAATAAATAATGTTAAAATGCTCATACTACCTAAAGCAATCTACAGAGTCAATGCAATCCCAATCAGAATCCCAATGACGTTCTTCATGGAAATAGAACAAAGAATCCTGAAATTCATATGGGGCAACAAAAGGCCCTGGAATAGCCAAAGCAATCTTGAGAAAAAAGAACAAAGCTGGAGGCATCACAGTCTCTGACTTCAAAGCATACTACAAAGCGATAGTAATCAAAACAGCATTGTACTGGTACAAAAACAGACACACAGATCAATGGAATAGAATTGAAAGTCAAGAAACAAAACTACACAGTTATGGACAGCTAATCTTCGACAAAGGAGCTAAGAACATACAATGGAGAAAGGAAAGTCTCTTTGATAAATGGTGTTGGGAAAAGTGGACAGCCACATACAAAAGAATGAAAGTTGACCATTATCTTTTACCATACCTAAAAATTAACTCAAAATGGATCAAAGACTTGAAGGTAAGACATGAAACCATAAAACTGCTAGAAGAAAATATAGGCAGTACATTCTTTGACATCGGCCTCAGAAGGATCTTTTAAAATACCATATCTACACGGGCAAGGGAAACAAAAGAAAAAAATAAACTCATGAAGCTTCATCAGATTAATGAGCTTCTGCAAGGAAAAGGAAACCAGGAACAAAACAAAAAGACAACCCATCAACTGGGAGTAAATATTTGCAAATCATACATCCAACAAGGGATTAACCCCCAAAATATATAAAGACCACACACAACTCAAAAACTAAGAAACAAACAACCCAATAAAAAAATGGGCAGAGGATATGAACAGACATTTTTCCAAAGAAGAGATACAGATTGCCAACAGGCACATGAAAAGATGTTCAACATCACTAATCATCAGGGAAATGCAAATCAAAACTTCACTAAGATATCATCTCACACCCATTAGAATGGCTATTATCACCAAGACAAAAAATAACAAATGTTGGAGAGGATGTGGAGGAAAGGGAACCCTCATACACTTGCTGTTGGGAATGCAAACTAGTCCAGCCACTGTGGAAAACAGTATGGATATTTCTCAAAAAAAATAAAAATAGAAATACCATATGACCCAGCTATCCTACTACTGGGTATTTATCCAAAGATCTTGAAATCGACAATTCAAAGAGTCTTATGCACCCCTATGTTCATTGCAGCATTATTCACAATAGCAAAGACATGGAAGCAACCCAAGTGCCCATCGACTGATGATTGGATAAAGAAGGCATGGTGTATATATATATATATACACACACACACACACACAATGGAATAATAGCCATAAAAAAGGCAAAATTGGTCCATTCACAACAATATTGATGGATCCTTAGGGTATTAATTAAGCGAAATACACCAGACAGGGAAAGACAAACATCACATGATTTTATTCATATGAGGAGATAAATTAACTCATTGACAAAGAGAACAGATTAGTGGTTGCCAGATGGGAATCTGGTTGTGGGGGTGGGCCTAAGGGGTAAAGGGCACATTTATATGGTGACTGACGAATAATAATGTACAACTGAAATTTCACAATGGTATAAACTACTATGACCTCAATAAAATAAAATAAATAAAAACTAAATAAAGATAAATGTGTAAATTCAAAAAAATCTTCAATGAAATATTAGGAATAAATTTATCCAAGGAGGCTCAATATTTGTACACAGTAGACTACAAAAGATAGTTGAAAGAAATGAAAAACTCTAAATAAATGGAAAGACCTCCTTTGTTCATGAATTGGAAGACTTAATATTCTTAAGATGGCAATACCCCTCAAAATGACCTACAGATTCAACGCAACATAATCAATGTCCCAACAACATTTTATTATTTTTTTGTAGACATGGAAAAGCTCATCCTGAAACTTATATGGCATTGCAAGAGGCCCAAACACCCAAAACAATCTTGAAAATGAAAGACAAATTTGGAGTACTCAGACCTTCTCATTTCAAACTTAATACTAACCTACAGTAATCAAAACACTATGGTACCAGCATTAGAATAGACATATAGACCAACAAAATACAATTGAGAGTCCAGAAATAAACCCATTCATCTACGGTGCACTGATTTTCAACAAGGAATGCCAAGACTCTTCAATGGAGAAAGAATAGTTTCTTCAACAAATAGTGCTGGGACATCTGGATATCCACTAGCAAAAGAAGGAAGTTGACCCCTACCTCACACAAGACACACACAAGAAAACCCTCAAAACGGGTTAGAGACCTAAATTTACGAGCTAACACTAACAAAATTAGGAGAAAATTAGGAGATAAATGTTCATGACCTTGGATTTGGAAATAGATTCTTAGATAGGACACCAAATGCACAGGCAACTGAAGAAAAAATAAATGAAAAGGACTTCATCAAAATTGAAACATCTGTTCATTGAAGTGAAAAGACCATGAAGAAAGTGAAAAGACAGTCTGTGGAACGGGAGAACATATTTGCAAATCACATGTCTCATGGGGTCTACTATCAGAATATATAAAGTACTCTTACAGCTCAACAACCAAACATCAAACAACCACGTTAAAAAATGGGCAAAGGACTTGAGTAGACATTTCTCCAAAAAACAGACAGAAATATTCAACAATTGCATGGAAAGATGTTAAATATCATTAATCATCAGGGAAATGCAAGTCACAACCATAATGAGATATCACCTCACAGACACTAGAAAGGCTATAATAAAAAAACAAAAGGGAAGTAACAAGTGTCTCTGAGGATGAGGAGAGTGGAACCTTTGTACATTGCTGGTGGGAAAGGAAAATAGTACAACCATTTTGAAAAAATAGTTTGGTGAACATAGAATTAGCATATCACTTAGTCATTCCACTTTACATATGTATGCAAAGAACTGAAAACAGATATTCAAACAAAAACTTGCACACCTATATTCATAGTAACCTACTCACAATAGTCAAAAGGCAGCAACAACTCAAATTTCCATCAGTGGATGAATGGATAAACAGAGTGGTATATCCTTACAATGGAATATTATTCAACCATAAAAAGGAAAGAAATACTGATACATGTTACTGCATGGATGAACCTCGAAAACATTATGCTAGGCGACAGAAGCTGGACTATAGGGTCATATGTTGTATGATTTTATGTTTGTGACATGTCCAGGATATGCAAATCCATAGAGACAGAAAGCAGATTCATGGTTGCCACGGATGGGGGAGGGGAGGAATGAGGAGTGACTGGCTAGTGGGTGCAGTGCTTACTTCTGGGTGATGAAGATGTTTCAGAAATAGAGGCGATGGCTCACAACTCTGTGAATGTACTAAATGCCACTGACTTGTACACTTTGATTAACATGGTGAATTCTACGTTATGTGAATTTTATCTCAATAAAACAAATGATACTTAAATATCAAATAATATTAAATTTACAATCTTGCAAATTTAATAATCTGTTTTCTTGCAAAGAAAATCTGTTTTATCTTATATTCTTCATTATAATTATTTCATTTGCTGATAACTTATATCATAATAAGAATGGCTAGTAATACAGTTTTTCTTCATTTCTTTTTAACCTCGTATTTTAATTCTTTTAATGAGAGTAACACTGAGATACAAGCGTGGTCACTCGGCTCCAGTGAGGTTGGGGAGGAGTGAGGTGGAGGACAGGCAGAGCAGGAGCCTGGGAAGACCCGGGTACTTACCTGTGCCTGCAGATGAATTGAAGGTAAATGACTCATCGGGCAGGGCCTTGCTCAGCCCTCTCAGGACATCCTCCAGGCCAAAGAGCAGGTTAGAGGCCACACAGTGCTGCTCTGAGTGGGGCAGGGTCTCCAGGTCCCCTGGGGTCTCCAGCAGAACATCCATCTCCTGCATGAGGTTCTGGGGGATGGAGATACAGAACCAATGGGCCAAGAGCCTTAGGGTCTGTGTGACGACCCTGCCCACTTAGCACCGAGAACAGACTCCAGAGACTATCTATTTTGGGATAAAGGTGGTACTGGATGGGATTCCCAGGGTCTTTGCCCCTGGAATCCAGCCACTCAGACTTCAACCCTGTTCATGAGTGCCAACCATGACACAAACCCAAAGTCCAGGAAAGCAAGAGGGCAGGTGTCAGCAGGTGCTCGTGGGTGTCCAACAGTGAGTACAAATACCTGCTGTCAGCTCGTCCCACCCACCGGCAGAGGGGGGTCCTCTGAGCAGGGCACCCTTGTGTTGGGGTCTGCCTCCTCCCAGACCACAGCTTCCCCTGGCCTCTATGGGTGCCTCCCCCTGCCTCCCCTGGGTCCTGCCCTCACCTGGATGGTGTCCTGGACCGAAGCTGACTTGAAGTCTCTGCGCAGATGCTGGACTCTTTCAAAGAAGCGGGAGAGATGCTGGGGAGAGGGGAGATGAGGGGGTCAGGGAGCCTCAAGGGTGGGCGGGGAGCTTGGGGAAATGGGGTGGGCAGAGTGGGCTGCACAGAGGGATTCCTGCCCCCTGGTCACTGCTGGGGCCACTCACCTGGCTCTTGTTTCCAGGAGGTGGAGTCCAGGGGGGGAAGATCTCTGCAGGAGACAGAACAGCGGGTCACTAGGTGTGAGCGTGTCTGTGTGTGCTGGGAGTGGAGTCTGGGGTCGGGTCAGGACAGGTACCTTCGCAGACGGTGCTGTTGGGGCCATCGGGGGACCCAGGAACCAGCGTCCACCCTGGGAGGCAGTGGCACCTGTAGGAGCCCACGGTGTTGACGCAGACAGTGGAGCTGTGACACTGATGCCGCCCGGAGCTGCACTCGTCCTCATCTGTGGACACGAAGATGGGGTCAGGCCAGGTCACAGCCTGGATCAGGCCCCTCTCCTCTCCACGCCCCATCCCTTTCTCTGTGTTTGTGTCCCCTCGCCCCCTTGGTGGGAAGTGATGCCACCTGGTGAGGGCACACCCCTGAGTGGGTGACCTGAGGTTATGGGAGGTGCAGAGGTGACACAGCAGCAGGTGAGCCGGGACACACGTACAGGTTGTGAAACAGTGGGACACCTTCACCCCAGTCAGTGATTAATGCTGCCTGGGGGCTCCGGGAGCCTTCCCCTTGGTACCCCAGCTCCTTCCCCGGGACACCCAGATCTGTTCACATCTAGTCTCCAAAGGCTTAACGCCTGGCACAGCAGGGTACCACCCATGCTCAATCTGCTTGGTTTGTGTGGGTGCCACTGATCTGTGATCAGATGCTCTGAGTGTGGGTCTCCAGGAGGGCAGTGTCTGAGCTCAGGACCTTCACAGACGGTGTTGTTGGGGCCATCAGGGGACCCAGGAACCGGCGTCCACCCAAGGTGGCAGTGGCACTCATAGCCACTCACGACATTGAGGCAGTGGGTGGAATTGTGACACAGACTGTGTGCCAAGGTGGATTCGTTCATGTCTGAGGACAAAGCCGGAGGGTCAGCTCTGCCTTCCTCTCACTGCCCCACCTCTCACTGCCCCTTTTCTCAAGTTCCTCAGCAATTCACACTGAAGACACCCCCATGCCCCACCTTCCCACACCTAGCCTGTCAGGACACAACTGTGTGACGGCATTTTCCATTGTAAAGACTCCGTAAGCTCAGAGCTTATGTGCACCTGTGAGGTGGGCGGGGTACAACTGTGCGTGCAAGTGTGAGCCCAGACACACCAAGGCCCTCACACACAGTGCAGGGTGGACTGCAGGGCCCTGTGACGGGCCTCTAACCAGGGAGGCTGCGACACCATGGCTATGCACCTGTTGACACAGGGGGTGGGGCTATGGCATCACTGCCACCCAGTGCCACAACTCTTCCCTTGTTAGAGCAGAACCCAGAGGGTCAGCCTTTCCCTGCCCAGGTCCCCCGTCTCCTCACTACCTGCGCTGAAGACGCAATGCTCCTGAGAAAGCTAGCTCTGGCAGCTTCCCTTAAGATGGGATCAGCAGGTACCTGTTCCCATTTTTCAGGCAAAAATAGAGGCAAAAAGGGAAACTGAGTCATGAGAGCTGGACTTCCTGATCAAGGCTCTTCTTATCCACTTCCTCCTTAGCCCTGGACCTAGCTTCTCCTTCTCAGAACCAGAAGTGACACTTCCCTCTGCTCCCACATGACAGATGCGGAAAGGGCGAGGTCTAGTGGGGGTGCTCACAGGGGCAAGGGCTCCACAAGGGATCCCCAGGCCCAGAGGCCCTGCCATCTCCTTGCTCTGTGGTGGGACCTTTCTGGGAGGTGAGCCCTGGGCAGGGTCTCTGCAGGCCCTTGCTGTTCCAGGAACCTGAGGATCCTCTCCCTCCTCCTCGGGCTGCAGGACCTCCTCCGCCCCTTCCCCAGCTCTGGCCCAGGCTGTGTCTTCCTGGGGCCTCTACCTGTGCACAACTTCGGGTCCGTCAGGTTGAGCTCCAAGCCGGGCGGGCACCTGCACGTGTAGCTGCCTTGGGTATTGATGCAGATGCTGCGGCCTTTACAGATTCTGGGTTTCTGCTGACATTCATCCACGTATGCAAGGGGAAGAGAGGGTGATGGATGCCTACATCTGCGAGCAGCCTTCGGGGCTGAGAGTCTGGCATGTTTCCTAGCAGAGAAGCATCTGGAAGGGGCCACTGTCTCTTCCCGGGTGAGTGGGTGCTTTTTCTTATTCACGTGGAGGCTTGTGGGTGCATGTGGTGGCCTAGACGCTCTGTTGTCCAGATGTGGCTGGAAATGGCCTGAGTCTTCCCTGTCTGCCAGCTCCGACTCCCTCAGCCTCCCTGGGCATCTTCCAGTTGTGGTGGGTACATCATGGCCACCTGTGTCTCAGCCTGCGCATTTGGACAGTGGCCAGGCTGGGTCTTCCTGGGGCCTGAGTGCAGGGGAAATGCTGCATTCCCCGAGCAGGACCAGCTTGGCTCCCAGGGATGGCCTTTGTCCTCATTTCCCAGGGTGGCTGCTCGCCCGCTGAGTTCTCCTCAGAATCTCGGTTGTTCTGATGGGACAGTGCTGTCCCATCCACACTAACTCTGAGAATCCAGCTCCATGAAGATGGACCAAGACCCTCCCTTGAGCCTGGCCCATCAAGAAGGAGGCTTTTGGCAGCAGAAGGGAGAATGAAGATGATGCTGAACGTCCAGGGCCACCCAGACAGCGGGCACCAGGCTGGGTGGCCAGTGGAGGCTGAGGTCCAGCCAGGTGGCCTTGGGATGGTGAAGGTGCCTTTTTCTGATCCCCATGAAGACACCCTCTGGACTGGCAGGAAGCGGAGAGAATCACATCTGAGCAAGGCCCGTGGTGGGTGAGGGCTGGGTGGCCAGAGAGGGGAGCAGCTTCTGAGGGGTGAGGGGTGGCAGATGTTTCATTTTCTCAGCCCTTGGCCTCCCACCAGGGACTCAGACCTGTGGGCCCCTTGGAGTGGGGTCCAGCCTCCATTTTCTCTTGCCAAGGGCTCCAGATCCAAATGGGGCCCGGGTTGACTGCCTCAGGAAAGGGTCAGCCTGGGGAAATGTTTCCTGATGGCACCTTCTCTTGCCATTTGGTCCAGACAGGAGCCTCTTCTGTTCACCTGCCTCTCTGAGTGTGAGTGCATGGGGTCCATGTCACCCTGTCAACCCATGTCAAAACAGCTTCCTCCCCGGTCCCAGTCATCCAAGTTGCCCACAGGCCCTTGAACTGAAATTATTGTGAAGGGTCAGAGCAGAGCTTTGTTCAGAGATTACATGGAGGTTCAGCAGCCAAGAAGCCAAGTCAGGGCCAGGAGGCATCTTCACCAGGTGAGGTTGTTGACCAGGGACAGGTTGGCTGGGGAAGTTGGACCTGCCCTCGAATCTCCCCCATCCCATGTGTCTGGATGGGGATACTGAGTCCATCATGGCCTGGGGATCTGAGAGGGCTCCTGGCTTGGCCGAGCCCGTGTAGGCTTCTGGCAGTGACTGATGAGGAGGATGGATATTGTGCTGGAGCGCAACACATTGTGAGCACATGAGGTATCTTCATGCCAGCCCTCTCTTTTGTTTTCTGAAAATAAGATGCCAGGCGGGCAAGGACGATGTTTCAAAGACCCTGAAGTGACCCTGTATGTATGCTTCTGAGTCTTGGTGTTAAGAGGGGGTGAGTGACTAAGCAGGTGCCCAGGACGGCTCTCTGCTGCCTGGGGAAAGTGGTACAAGTGACCCCAACCCTCATGGACGAGGAGATGGAACACGCGGGGTGGTTCTTACCTTGACACGTGTTCTCACTCTCGTTCCTGAACATTCTTCCTCCAGAAACAAGCTCATATCCTGGGCTGCATGTGCAGTAGTAGCTCCCTTCCGTGTTCTGGCAGTCTGCAAATTTCCCACAGGACACTGCTGAGGGTGGTCCACACTCGTTGATGTCTAGAACACAGCAGGACAAAAGGTCACCTCTCAATTGGTGATTACCCACAGAGCAGAGACCCTGGCCTCCAGCCTGACCCTGACACAGGGACTGGACTGAACTCAACTCCCAGGTGGCACTCCTGGGACTGGGCTGGGCTGGAGCCATCTACGCCAGACATTCTGCTACTTCTCTGCTAATCTCTGCTCTCTGGCTGAGCCTGAGGGCGCCTAGATTCAGACACTCTGCCATGCCATGACAGGGGCTGGGGAGACGTCTGCCTCCCCCTCTCCTTGAGGGGTAGACTGAGGCACTGACTCAGCTCCAGACCCTCCCCTGTGGAGTTCTCTGGACTGTCAGGGACCTGGGGTGCGCTGAAGTCATGGTGACATTGGCATTGAAGGCCATCTTTGATGCTGAGGAAGTGGAGGGACTCATGGCCGGTGCCTGTCCAGGGTCACACTCATCACTGACCCCTGGGGAGAAGCCAGGAGGTCAGGAGCCTGCCCACTGCTGGCTTCAAGCCCCCTTTACTCACAGTGGCCCAAGTACACCCCACACTCCACATCAGGCACTCCCCCAGCTCCCAGGATCAGGCCTTGTCAAGATGTCCCAGGATGCCTCTGGGGGAGTCTTGCTCTCTACACCCCGGAGGGAAGTCCCCCCTTATCAGAGCCTGAGTCAGATATGAAATGAGAAAGTAGCACAAAATGGCTACAGCTGAGTCACTGGGGGTGTTTTGTGGCATCTCGTCTCTCTGTGTTCTCTAAACAGGAGAAGAAAGATGCCCATGACACAGGTCCCCTTTGAGCAGCTCAGGGTCTGTACACTGTTGTGTAACCAAAATGTTTGGTTCCTGTACGTTCCATCAGGTGACCAAAGACATTACAGCCTGAGAGGACTCTCAGCATCACAACGAGTCAGGACAGGTGACTGGTCTCCCCCAGATCAGAGCTCTCCTCTCTGTGCCTGCAGATTTCCCCTCTAAGGCCCCCGACCCAGTCTGTGGGTGTCAGCACAAGGACAGGACAGGAGCAGCAGGGACACACACTGAGGGATTTGTCTTCAGCCCCCACCTGGGCAACGGGGCTTCCCTCCTGTTCTGTGATGGTGGCGATGGCTGGAGACCTGTCCTCAAGGTTGATGGGATGGGGTGAGTTGAGTGGGGGACCGTTCAGAATGAGGTGCATAGGCGAGGAGACATGAGGATGGGAAATTATCAATCCCATGTTTGTGTTCCCAGAAAGGATCTGGGATCCAGCTACGTTAGCAGCAGGACGTCCTCTCCATGGTCACCCAGCCTACAAATCTCCATGAGACATACACGTGCCAACGCACGAGGGAAATTTTAGGAACACCTCCAGGGTCATGGGTGGGCTGGGAAGGTGTCAAAACAACATCATTTTTTCCCCTGATGAAATTACTATCTCCCCGATATAGTATCATGGACCCATAAGTCCACTACACAGACTACTGGAAATTTTAGAGGTATTTTTTACTTATATTTTCTAACATATTAGGAATATTTTCCTTTCTTATCAGTAAATATGCATCTAAGATTATTTCAAGTCAATGAAGAAAGTTTCTTGGTAAAAGTCATAGAATGTCCTTTTTTCCCATTTTTTAAAATTGTGGTAACATGTACATAACATAAAATTTACCATCTTCACCACTTTGAGGTTGTATAATTTCCTTTTGTGATCCTGCATTGTTGAATAATAAAAACACCTGCGTTTTCCACCTGGAGTTAGATTCTAGCACATTATTAGTTGTGGGAGTTCAGACAAGCCACTCAATCTCTTTGAGCCCAAATTTGGTCTTTAACCCACAGTCCTGACTCTGCTTGCCTCACGGGTCTGCTGTGAGGACGCGGTGGGAGACCACGATCATGAGCCGGGCAGGAGTTCCTGGTGAGCTCCCTCTGGTAGGAGAGCCTGAGCTTCCAGGCCCTGGGTGCTTCCTTCCTCCTGTTTCTGCCATTATTCTTCCCCTTTCTTTGTGCCATGAGAACAATAGTAATAATAATAATAATAATAATAACAGCAATAAGAATGATGATAACTCACCTTTGTTGATAATTTGCTCTGTACTAGTCTAAATATTAAATCTCACACCATCCGTGTGGGGCAGGTACAATGATTACCCCTAACATACAGACAAACAAACTGAGGCACAGAGAGGAGAAATAATTTCCTAAAGGTCAGAGAGCCAGCCAGTGGCAGAGCTAGGCTTTGAACCCACGTAGCCCAGCTCCACTGTGTAAGCTCTCAACACTCCACTACTGATCATGAAACCCGATGCTCACTTCCCTCAACCCTCCCCTGCCCTGTCTCCTCTCTCATCCTTGACAAAGTGCTTCTGTGCTGCTCTCAGGGCTGAGGGATCTGGATGCCCCACACTCTCCCCCCACAATCTCCATATGCCCCTGTGTAACACCCACGTTCCTGTACCATCGCAGCTCTCTGCGGGGCTGGTTATGATCTCCCCAGACAAAGAGCTGAATCCTGGATCACAGCGACAGGCGGTGGCACTGACACATGTGGAGTTCCGAGGGCACCAGCGAGCACAGACTGTGGGGGCAGAGGCTGTGGGACAAAGACCAGGGTCAGAGACCCCAAGAAATGGAGGAAGCCAACTGTCAACTGGGAGGACCCTGAGTAGAAGAGAGGAGGGAAGAGAGGGATGGCTCCCCTCAGAAGAGGGAGAACTCAGAAAACACTGGACATTTAGGGAGGAAGTGACAGCTTCTCTTGTCCTCAGAGTACCATCTCTGAGCCTCATATGCAGAATAAGCCTCCTTACCCCCCTTGTTGGGGACAGAACCCAGACCCCAGCATGGGCTCCCAGCTTATGTCACTAGTGGGGCTGCTGGGCAGACTCACCTCCAGGGTTCCGGGCTGCAGGTCCCAATGACAACAGCAGCAGGAGCGAGAGTCCTGTGACAGAACGACCAAGAGAAGACAAAGAGAGGAGAGTCGAGCTTCAACTTCAACTCCTGTTCGATAGCCGTTGCCTCTTGGGGAGGTGGCTGTGGTCCTGCAGCCCATAGCCTTCCAGCAGCCTCCCCGAGGCTGCTGTACTTGACTCAGAATAGAGGACTCAGCCTCTCCCCTCCATCTCAAGGACTCCTCGAGGAATCAGTCACTGACAGCCACAGCCCTCGTGGAGCCTGAGGGGGGACAGAATAAACGCAGACAGCTGATGACAGGGACACAGCTTAGGAACTCCAACCTCTCCCAGTGGAGGGAGGAAATCTTGCAGGGGAAAGTCCTCATATTGGAGTGCCTTTGCCCAGACCCAGGTTCTTTGTTCTCTGGAGATGGCAGAAATCTGCTTCAATGATTTCTCTTCCAGGATCACCCCCCTGTTTAGAGTACATGATTCAGGGCACACAAGAAGATCATGGGGTTGGAGTCAGACAGTCTGAAGTGTGAGCCCTAGCTCACAGTGATTTCAGCAGGGCGTGGAGCCCTGAAATCAAGATGGGGGAGCTGGTGACAGGTGACAAGTGAGAGCTAAGGAGGCTGCAGGTGGAGCCACCCTCTCCTGGTGAGTGGACTCTCCAGGTGCAGCGCCCATGGCTTCTGTGCTTCCTCCACCTGAGCTCCTGGCCTCCTGTAGTGCACTGAGGGCACAGCCTTCCCCATTTGTCTCCCAGTCAAGTCCTGAGAAGTGAGTGACTGACAGCAACAAGCTTTGTGGTGTGAAAACCAGTATGAGTTGAAGGAATGAAATCTACTTTACAGGCAATAACCAGTTTACCTATTGGGTCTGTCATCCCAATCATGTGGCTTAAAACTTTCTGAAAATCTTTTCAGATCTGTATGTCTTGAAGGATCTTTCCTCCCAGGGAAAGACAAAGATGAATTCCTCTTAAGGCTTTGCTGGCAGTTAACACTGTGAAAGGTGACAGAGGACACTGGTGGAGGATGGATCTGGAGATGGACGTGCTCAAGTCTGCATCCCAGACGTCCCCATGGTGGCTGCGTGGCTTTGGGAACACCACCCATCTGTGAGCCACACTTTCTCCATTGCAATATTGGGAGATGGTAGCATAATAGGAGGAGCTTTATTCTGATTGTAGATTAGCGAAGACTAGCAAAGGGTTAGCACGGTGTAAACAGTGCTAACACAGAGTAAACAGACAACGTACATCAGCTAAAGGGAAAGAGTGAAGGAAGAAAACGTAGAGCAGAGTTTCTCTCTGGCTCCTCTATGACCTTCCTGGTACCTGAGACCCACCGTGTCTATGTCAGACTCCAGGGTCAGGAAGAATCACACGCTCACCTTGGTCCTCTCAGGGGTCAGAGTCCTAGATCCCTACTCTTCCCTCCTTGCCCACGAAATGTCCTTTTCTCCTACAGCTCTGTCCAGTGCTGCAGAGCACCAGGATCCGTGGCCACACCGCCTGAGTCCAAACCAGCCTGGAGCTGCCCCTTGGGAAAGTGGTGCAGGCATTCCATGCCTCAGATGCCCCACCAACCACGCCTCTGTTTTCTAAAGTGTGGCACCAGAGTAAGATCAGATGAGTCCCAATGTCCCATGTATATGAATAAGGTCATTTTGTCTGCTGAGCACATTATATGTAGACACCTTAAAATGTAAATATCTGGAGGAAACTAGCTTTGCTCTCCATTGCTTTCAAATACCCACAGCATTTTGCACAATGGTTACTCCAAAATGTACTCAGTTTTTTAAAAAAAGTCATGTTCCACAAAGCAGATGATAAGAAATGTGGCTGTTTTCATAAAAACCTGGAAACTAATTACAACCAATGAGGACAACATACAAGGGACACCTAACCTACTAGGTGACAGGTACTATCCCAAGCATTGAAGGAAATACAGAGTAACCAGAATTAAGCCTACCTCACTGATATCAGTATTTACTAATTCACTGTTATTGTCCTTCAAATCATTCCACAACCCGCACAAAGCTGATAGACTAAAGGACTATGTTTTTCTTAGCATATTAGATTTTTATGAGCATTTGGTTTTCTACTCTTCTGAAAAACAATAGTATAGGTGGTGTGATGGTTAATTTTATGTATCCATTTGGCTAGGTCACGGTACCCAGATATTGGATCAAACACCAGTGTCGACGTTGCCGTGAAGGTATTTTTTAGACGATATCAACATTTAAATCAGTAGACTTAGAGAAGGCAGATTACCCTCCACAACCTGGGTGTGCCTCATCCAATCAGTGGAAGGCTTTAAGAGAATAATGACAGACAACCTCCAAGGAAGAGGGAATTCTACTTCCAGACTGGCTTCAGACTTAAGATGCAACAATAAATCTTCCCTGGCTTTCCCGCCTGCTGGCCTGCCCTGCAGATTTTGGACTTTCCAACCTCCACAATCTCATGAGCCACTTCTTTAAAATAAATCTAGATAGGTAGAGAGAGAGAGATACATGCTGTTGGTTCTGTTTCTCTGGAGAACCTGAACTAATACAGGTGGTAAAATGAGAAATATCTCTAGATCCCCACGTCTGCCCTAGGAATAAGTTTCTCCTTTGAACACTGAACATAATCTGGGTAATATCCTTCCTAAAATTTCTTTCCTGCTCTTCCTTACAGAGATAGTGGAAAAACAAGTCAGAAATCAGGCAAAGAACAGAGAATATTCTCAAACTGGACAGACAGCTCCCAGATAGCTTTAGTCTTCTCTCTCCGTTGTTATAGTTCTTCCTACCTGGCAGCAACCTTAGAAATCTGTTTCTCATGGTGCAGAGGCCAGCAAGCCCAGTCACGGAGGACGTCTGATCTTGGTCTGTGCGTGTGAAAACGACTTCCAGTTTTTAGTATGACTTCTGTCTTCAAGGGATGACTTAGGAAACCACTGATCTGGTCTTCCTCCTAATCTTCCCAGTGATTAACTTCTCTGAAACTCACAGTTCTGCTTTTAATTTTTTCACAGCATCACTAGTATTTGTTATGAAAGCCTGCCTGAGGCTGGTTTTCACACCTTTTTGATATAGGAAGCGTGATACTGTGTTTAAAAGACCTCCCAAATGTGAAGAATCATTCTGCTGGTCTTTTTGCCGCTACAAGGACGTTGCTTCAAAGTGAAAAGACCTATCTGTTTACTATCTATTAACAGATTTATTTAATTTTTAGTTCCTTTTTTGAAATAAATATAGATTTGCAGGAAGTTGCAAAAACGATACCAAGAGTTCATGTGTACCTTTCACTCCGTTTCCTGCAAAGTTTACCTTTTTAGGTAATGATACTCCAATATCTAAACCAAGAAATTGACACCGGGACAACGTGTCTGCAGTTCGATGTCATTTTTCCACATGTGCAGATTCCTGTAACTGTCACTGCAATCATGATATGTAATATTCCATCACCACAAAGATCTCCCTCATGCTACCCCAACTTCCCTAAACCCTTGCAGGTCTAAAACTAAGTTGTTTTACTCTTCAACAATGTCAAAACAGTCCTTGATTCGTATTTATTGATAAAGAAAAATATTCGTGATATGTTTTAGAAGATGACAGAAACATTCTTCCCCAATTTTCCAGTAGTGTCTGTGGTGCGATTATGGTGATTTTCTTTGTCTTCATATTCTACACTTTCTTTGTTTTCTGCGTGTCCATGTGTGATATTTGGCTAGGGCTGGCACAACAAAATAGCATGGGCTGGGTGGCTTAAACAAAAGAAATTTATTCTCTCACAGTTCTGGAGGCTGGATGTCTAAGATCTAGGTGATGGCAGGGTTGGTTTCTGGTGAGGTCTCCTCCTGGCTTCCACGTGGCTGCCTTCTCACTGTGTCCTCACATGGCCTCTCCTCTGTTGGTGGATGAGAAGAGTGAGAGCTCTGGTGTCTCTTCCTCTTCTTTAAGGACATCAGTCCTATGAGCTTAGGGCCCCACCCCATGATCTCATTTAACCTTATTCACTCCTAAAAGCCCCTAACTCCATAAACCCATGGGGGCCAGGGCTTCCACATACAAATTTTAGGGGGACACAACTTAGTCCATTATATCATGTTTATTTAATATTTTGGGAAAAAGTAAATTTTATCAAAAAAAGCTGTCTTGATTTCTCCTTAATTACTGAAGGATATCTTTTCTTTTTTTTTTTTATTGGTTTATAACATTGTAAAAATTTCAGGTGTACATCATTGTACTTCTATTTCTGCATCGACTACATCATGTTCACCAC